CACTGGCCACATTTCAAGTACTTAGTACCATATGTGGGTAGTGGCTACCATATTGGACAGGGCAGATATAGAACATTTCCATCATTGCAGACAGTTCTATTGGACAGCTCTGGAAGGCTATTCACCAAAATATGGACTAGGACTATTTCTGGGTGGTAAGGTTGCAGATAATCTTTACTTTCTTGTTTATATGTCTCCATAATTTCTTAAATATTGATGATGACTTTGTGTTCCTTTCTACAATCAGAAGAAAAATGCTATTTCAAGAAAAAAATGATAGACCTTTGCATTTTTAAGGATTCACAGCTTGTTTTCCTTTCCACAGTGAATTAAATGCCAAATCAAAGGAGTTACAGCTGCAGCTTTCAGAGGATGGGAGATCCTTAGAAGGTGGGTGCTGAGCAGGGGATGGAAGCTCCGTAGCCTGGGAAAGTCTTCCAGCCATGTGGATTTGGCCTTGGGGAGGTGGGGAGGACAGAGGACCTGGCTGCACAGGCGGCCCCTTCCCTAAACCGCTCCGGGTTCTCACAAGGAAATATTGGGTCCAAAGTCAATGTCAGTTATTAGCAAAGTCATACATTGTGGGAAGGAGTATATTCAGCTGGCTTTTCCTTGCTAAATAAGCCACAGTGGCTAAAACTAGACACGTTTTAGATACAAGAAAGCAACGATTAGAGGTGAGACCATTAAGTGGATGTGGATTTTGTTGTTACCGTTGAGTTGATTCTGACCCCATGTGTGCAGAGTAGAACTGCTCCATAGGATTTTTATTTTATTTTTTCCCATACAAAAATTTATACATACATTGTTATGTGACCCTAATTGCTCTCCCTATACTGTGACAGCACACTTCTCCTTTCCACTCCTGACTCCCCATGTCCATTCAACCAGCTCCTGACCCTCTCTGCCGTCCCATCTCACCACCAGACAGAAGCTGCCCCTTTGGTCTCTTGTATCTACTTGAGCTAAGAGGCACACTTCTCACGAGTATCACTTTATGTCCCACAGTCCAGTCCAATCCCTGTCTGAAGAGTTGGCCTCGGATATTGTTTTAGTTCTGGGCTGATGGAGAATCCGGGAGCCATGCTTTCCGGGGTCCATAGGATTTTCAAGGCTGAGACCTTTTGGAAGCAGAGCCCCAGCCTGTCTTCCAAGGCGCCTCTGGGTGGGTTCAAACCACTAACCTTTCAGCTCGTAGTAGAGTGCTTAACTGGTTGTGCCACCCAGGGCTCATTAAACACCCTCATACCTGTCAGAATGGGGAGAGGGGTTCTTGCTTGGCTTATCCAGCTCTGAAATCAAACCTTTTGTTACCTCGTAAAGTTAGGAAAAAACAATTCAAGACTGTAGTGATTAGCAAGAATTTTGAGGCCATTTCCTTGACTCTGTGACTCAGGGATACACATGAGATAAGCAGCCACATTCCAGGGGGCTGGGAGGGAAGAGTGCAGGGTGGGGTCACTGTTTGTGTGGAGAGAAGCTGTTCCTGGCCACATTCCGGTGGCTCCAGCAGGAATGCATTCCAGTCCAGCCTCATGGGACCTACGAAGGTTCAACTGTACAAAAATAAGAATAATTTCGAACTTACAAAGAGTCATACAAAGAACAACCTTATAACCTTTACTCAGATGCACCTATTTTTAATATTTTGCCCCATTTTCTTTATCATTTCTACTTCTCTCTCTTTGTCCACGAGTGCGCACGCATGCATGTGCGTGCACACACACGCGCACACACACACACACACAAAGTATTTTTTTGGAACCACTTGAGGGTAAGCTGCATACATCATAGGAGTCTCCTGGACGGTGCAAACAGTTAAGCGGTCGGCTGCTAACCAAAAGGTTGAAGGTTCAAGTACACCCAGAGGCACCTCGGAAGAAAGGCCTGGCGATTTACTTCAGAAAAATCAGCCACTGAAAACCCCATGGAACACATCTGCTCTGACATACATGAGGTCGCCATGAGTCGACTCAATGGCAACGGTTTGTTTTGATTTTGCATACATCATGGCCCTTCACCTCTAAATTCTTTAGCGCATACTTCCTAAAAATGGGGATATCCTCTTCCATGTCCACGGTACAGAGCCCTGGTGGCACAGTGGTTAAGAGCTCAGCTGCTAACCAAAAGGTCAGCAGTTAGAATCCACCAGCCACTCCCTGGAAACCCTACGTACAGGGCAGTTCTACTGTGTCCTACGGGGTCGCTATGAGTTGGAATCGACTTGACAGCAATGCGGTTTTGGTCCACAGTACAGTAATCAACTTCTTGAATTTGCACTGACACTATTCTTTTATCCAGTCTACTGCCATACTCCAGTTTTTGTCAGATGACCCTATTGTGTCCTTTATAGCAATTATTTTCCACTCCAGCATAGGATAGGGTATGGGCTATAATTCTCACCTCTCTTTAGCCTTCTTTGGTCTAGGACATCCCAAAGCTTTTTTTTTTCTTTTGTGATACTGATATTTTTTAAATATTCTGAAACGTAACCATTTTCAAGCTAATGGGGCATACATCAGGAGCTAAATTCCAGCTGTCACAGCTCACCATGGCCCTTTTCCCTCGTGGAACCTCATGGAAACATCAGTGGTGCACCTTGCTTGTCTTCTGTCTCTTCAGGTCTGTTTGCAATGACAACGATTCCTTTGGATTTATTCAAGAAGCAACCTTCTGGGCCACAGAGCTTTACGCTGACCAGCGGGTCCACCATGGGCAGCCCAGTATTGGGCTCGGTCACCGCGGAGGTACGGAATGCATCGCCTACAGCAGCTGAGGTTCAGCCTGGTCACTTCAGATAAGGAGCATCTTCATTTATATCTGTCAGAGTCATGTTCTTGCTTCTCTGTGACATTTCCAAGAAGAAAAGCCATTCCATGGTACCCATTTCTAGACTTGAATGGCGCAGGTCCCCTCCACCCTAGTATGCCTGTTCCCATCATTATGTGCTGAGGGGCTTTGGCTGAGCTTGGGTGGCATCCTTCTCTGTCAATGCTAGGAAAATCCAGGCTAAGTGGAAATAGAAAGTAACGCTGTCTTAGTTCCCTAGTGCTGCCATACACAGATATCACAAGTGGGTGGCTTTAAAAAACAGAAATGTATTTTCTCAAAGTTCAGGAGGCTGGAGAAGTTGGAATTCAGGGCGTGGCTCTAGGGGGAGGTCCTTCCTGGCCTATTTTAGCTTCTAGCTGCCTATGCCTCTGTCACGGTAGACAGATAGTGTCTGTCTCTTCCCACCTACCCCATGTGTGGCCCCGTGGCTGATCTGCTCTTTGTAGAACTCAGAAGTGATTAGGTGTAGAACCTACCCTAGTTGAGTATAATCTAATTAACATAACAAAGAAAACTTTATTACTTCCAAACAGGATTACATCCACAGGTATAGGGGTTAGGATTCCAATACATATTTTGCGGGGGGACACAGTACAGTCCATAACAGACATTAAGTGAAGAAATTGGGGGCCGCTTCAAAGGAAGTCAGGGTTCCAATGGCTGGGATTAGCCTTCACACTCACTACAGAATAAGTAACCAGACTTCTCTGCAGTTTTCTTATGTAGAACCCAATGAATTGAAGCCCTGGCCAACCCCTCCCCCTGTTTCCGCTGCGAAGATACAGAAAGACCGCACAGTGATGCCCTGTGGGACTGTGGTCACCACGGTGACCGCCTTGAAAGCCAGGAAGCCTCGCTTCGACGTGGGGAGGGCATCCCCGTTGAGCCCTGGTGAGACGGTTGGGAGCTTTTCTGTAAACACCTTGCCCTATGCACTGCAGAGCACTGTAGGGGGCAGTGCTGAGTGTTATTAAGAAAATCTCATGGCCAAGGAAGACTGGTAATTGGCAAGAATTTTGTTTCCTTTTTTTTTTGTTTTTTTGGACGATTATGTTTCTATTTTGTCAAATAAATACCTGGTCAGCCGAAGCAAGGTACAACCTTGTAGTATATTCTGGAGCTAAAACCTAGAGGGGGCAGCAGTGGTTCAGTGGTAGAATTCTCGCCTTTTGTGCAGGAGACCTGGGTTCAATTCCTGGCCAGTGCACTTCAAGTGCAGCCACCACACGTCTGTCAGTGAAGGCTTATGTCTTGCTATGATGCTGAACAGGTTTCAGCGGAGCTTCCAGACTAAGATGGATGAGGAATCTACTTCCAGACTAAGATGGATGAGGAATCTACTTCCAGACTAAGATGGACTGGTGATCTACTTCTGAAAATCAGCCAGTGAACACCTGATGGATCACAATGGTCCAACAGGCAACTGATCATGAAGATGCCATAAAACCGGGCAGCGTTTCATTCCGCTCTGCGTGGGGTCACCATGAATCGGGGACGACTTGGCAGAAGCTAACAATAACAACAACAAAACCTAGATATTATAAGTAGCTACACTTCCGTATAACTCAAACTAAGTTAAATGAAGTACCCCTTTATATTTATGTGGGACAACATGCACTGTCTTAAGAAATTAGATGTCCATGGTCAGGGTAAAACCAACCCAAACCCATTGCCATCGAGTTGATTCTGTCTCATAGTGACCCTATAGGACAGAGTAGAACTGCCCTATAGAGTTTCCAAGGAGCGCCCGGTGGCTTTGAACTGCCTACCTTTTGGTTAGCAGCCATAGCTCTTAACCACTATGCCACCAGGATTTCCATGGTCAGGGTAGAGTTGCTTATATTAAAAATTATTTACTGGAAGTACTGACATCAGTCAGTTTAGATCAGCTGAGTTAATTGTACATGTCACTGTAACCATCGCTGTGGAGACAATTTCTGTGTAAGTGTAGGGTTTGTTATTATTATTGTTTTATTTATATTATGTCTTGTATCAAGTTTTGTGCCAAAGTATTATTTTCCCAGAATAGATCACTTAGCATAATTCTCGAATGCAAAATAGAAAACGAAATTCTGGTTTAATTAAAATGTTTCTGAAATTTGATGTAGACTTGGGCTCCTAACACCAGTTTTGACCCAAATAATGATACTACTACTAATATGACTAATAATAATAAAAGAATAAGAGGGATTGTTAAAGAAGTCTGAAGGTCGGCCATTGCCTTTACCTCTGGATGAACTAGCAGTGAAATGAGAGGTAGTTTCACTTTCCTGTAACTGTCGATTCAGATAACTTCTGGGGTGCCATTTGTAACTGGAGACTTTCCTCTGCAGAGTCCTCTGTGAAAACACCTGTGAAAGTGAAGGTGATTGAAAAGGACATCTCGGTCCAAGCCATCTGCCACGGCGCCCCCGTCAGTAAAACCTTCTCTTCTTCAGACACAGGTAACCAAGAGTACGCTCACATTGTTCACCAGCTTAGCATCTTTTCAGCTGTTCTGACAAGTCTTTCTCATCTGATAAGCATGAATACTGCCTTTCTGGGATTTGTGAAGTGGTTTTTTTTTTTTTTTTTTTTTTTTTTTTTGAGTAATAAGAGAAGAACTAGAAGTCGAAAAATTGATTGAAGGCTTCGGTAGCGTTAGCATCCCCACTTAAGTTCTCGGGCGTGCTTTAACGAAGTGAATACAAGAATCCAACTATAGGACATTCTGGAAAAAGCAAAACTATGGAGTCAGTAAAAAGATAAGTGGTTGCCAGGGGCTCAGGGTAGATAGGAGGGTTGAATAGGAGCACACGGCATTTTCAGGCCGGTGAAATTATTCTGCAGGACACTGTAATGGTGGACACGTGACATTATGCATTTGTTAAAACCCATAGGCCTGGACAACCCAAAGAGTGAATCCTAGTTATGTTAATATTATAAAATCAGTGAGACTCATGGAACATAATCATAAAAACTTTATTTTTTGTCTTGTTTGTCCCTCATTGTCCCTTTAAACCTGTCTAATAGGAATGGTTTTTCCTTCGCCCTCTGGACACAAGCTTCACGTTTTTATGGTCACATTCAGATACAAACATCTTTAGAGAGATGTCTTCCTGTCTCTTTAAATCACAAGCTCAGTCTAAGTCTAATCATTAAGCCTCCTCCCTCCTCTGCCTCTGGCCCATTGCAGGGAGAACCTGCAGTCAGGGAAGGGGCAGTAGGCAGCTTCTTTCATACTCCCCTCTCCCTGTACACTCAGTGCTGCTTCTGACCTTGCCCAGGTCGAGGATGGGGCAAGGAGGGGCAGTCGGTGGGGTAGAAAGCTAGAATGTTCTTCTTTATTTTATTGTGCTTTAGATGCCGGTCTACAGAGCAAATGAGTTTCTCATTAGACAATTAATACATATATTGCTTTGTTACATTGGTTGCCAACCCCGGGACATGTCAACACGAAAGTTCTCATTGGATGGATACTGCCTCTTGACCTGGTGGAAGTTTAAAACAGACTCTTTCCTTTTGTAGGGGTTTTCATGGTTCTTTGGATACTTCCCTGTTGGTCCCCCCAGCTGCAACTTCACAGACACAGGCAGTGATCCTGTGGCCATTCCTAATGCCCCTTCCTCAGCTCCTGCCGCTGGAAGTACGCCCACCAGCTTGTACTGTGGAGTGGTCCTTTCACCTGGGCAGGATCCCTGCTAAAAGACCCCAGGCTTAAGCCTATGAAAAGATGTTCAACATCACATGTCAGTAGGGAATTGCAAATTAAAACAAAATGATACCACTACACCCTATTAGAATGGCTGAAATCCAAAACACTGACAATACCAAGTGTTAGCGAGGATGTGGAGCAACAGGAACTCTCCTTGCAGATGGGACTGTAATATGGTGCAGCCACTTTGGAAAATAGTTTGGAAGTTTCTTACAAAGCTAAACATAGTCTTACCATACGCTCCTAGGTATTTACCCAAATAAATTGAAAATGTATGTCTACCCCAAAACCTGCATACGAATGTTTATAGCAGCTTTATTCATAATCGCCAAAAACTGGAAGCAACCAAGATGTCCTTCGGCAGGTGAATGGATAAACAAACTGTGGTCCATCCATACAATGGAGTATGACTCGTGATGAAGAGAAATGAGCTATCAAGGTGCAAAACGACATGAGGGAACCTTAAATGTATATTGCTACGTGAAAGAAGCCAGTTTCAAAAGGCTGCGTACTGTATGATCCCGACTGTATGACATTCTGGAGAAAGCAAAATATAGAGACAGTGAAGAGATCAGGGGTCCTCAGGGGTCCAGGGAAAGCAGGAGGGATGAACAGGTGGAGGAGAATAGGGCATTTTTTAGGGCAATGAAACGATTTTGTATACGGTAATGATGGACACATGACATCTTGATTTGTCAAAACCCTCAGGACTGTTCATCACAAATAGTGAACCCTAAAGCAAACTATGGACTTAATAATAACGTATCAAGATTGATGGATCAGTGGTAATAAATATATCACATGAATACAACATGTTAATAATAGGATTAACTGTACAGAGGGGGAAAGGAAACATATGCCCACTCTCTATGTACTTTCTGAGCAATTTTTATGTAAACCTAAAACTGCTCTAAAAAATATGAAGTGTATTAAAATTTAACAAAAAGATGCTGGGCTGGCACTCCTGCTGTGGGTTCCTCATCTGGCCGGGGGGCCGTGGATTTGGCCCTCGGAGTCACCCTCCACTGTGCAGCCAGGGGCCGTGGCAGCTTCTTCAGCCAACCTGGCACCTTGCCCAGGTGCTCTGAGGATGCAGGGAGGTCCTAGGTGAGGCCGGAGGAGGTGGTAACCCTCATGCCTTGCAGCTCGGAGGCAGTGGGTGGTACAGCACAGCTTTTTCCAAGGGGATGCTCCCCAAAGCCTTTCTCTTGACCCTTCTCTCTTCTCACTGTGGGTCTTTGGCCAAGCATTTCTCGGTCACTGGTTCTCTCCCACGCCCTCTGGAAATATGGCCTCTGCTGTCCTCAGGATATGGCCAAAAAACGGGATAGGAAAGTTCCTTTTAACAGCCTGCTACTGTAATAGCTTTGTTATTATAACTTTATTTTGGGCAATAAAGTAGAGTTATAAGCATTGGCTCTAAGTCACACACCAGGCTGGGCATCTTGGCTCGGCCACCTTCCTAGGTTTTGGGGGGTGAAATAATATGCATGGAACTCTTTGACTAGGACCCAGTACATAGTAAGCATTCAATAGATGTTGGCCAGTGGGTGCTATTAACCATGAGACGGAGCTGCTTTTGTTAACTGACTCTTCATACCCCCAATTACTATTCTGTACGTTTAATCACCTTTGAGAGGGAAAGAGAGTAACTGCATTGCCTTTCAAAGTTCAGAAAGTTACAGAGGTTTTTGGTTTTGTTTTCTTGGTTTTGTTGTTTTTCATTAGTTACATTGAGGTATAATCTACATGCAACAAAATGCGTGGATCTTAAGTGTATACTTCAGTGAGTATCACGTAATCACATAGGAAATCAAGCTATAGGTCAAGGGTCAGCAAACTATGGGCTTGTGGGTAAATCCAGCCCATCGCCTGTTTTTGTAAATAAAGTTTTATTGGTACCCAGCCGTATCCATTTGCTGCTTTCATGCTACGAAGGCCGAGTTGCGTAGTTGTGACAGAGACCCGATGGCCTGCAGTGCCGAAACTATGTACTCTCTGCCCTTTTGCAGAAAATGCTTTCCCGACACCTACGCCAGACCCTTTCCATCACCCCGGAAGCTCCCACAGAAGTTTTTAATTTTTGCTAACGAACTCAACACTGTCTTCCCTCTGACAGAATTGTTGGTGTTGAACAGTTTGGATCCGGTGGCAGAAGTCGCCATCCGACAGCTCAGCGAATCTTCAAAACTGAAACTCAAGTCACCGCGGAAGAAAAGCACCCTCATCATCTCGGGAATCTCTAAGGTACAGTTGAGGCAGCTCGGAGAGGCGTTTGCGTCTGAGACTGGCCTGTGCCCTTCCCCCTTTGTAGACATTAGCCCAAGTACTTGATCACAGTCCAGAACGTTCCATCTACAAATATCAAATGACGTTTCTCGTCCAGCAAACGGATGATTTATGGTATCGTGTTGACGTAGTTTGTCCTGTTTATGAAGGATACTTGAAAGGTTCTGGCTGGTGAAGCTTTGGTTGTTGAGAGGTTGATGAGTCATTGCAAGAAAAATGATTGAAACAAACTGATGATGTCAGACTCCTCAAGGTACAGAACCTCCGCCCTGATTGCGCCCGATTATGGGAAACTTTCGCTCTCCACATTACATATTTCCAAAGCATTTCACTTTTTGTTTTCGCAATGAATGTTTAGTACTTTTGTAATCAGAGAGAAACAAAGATTGCTTTAAATCCACATTCCTTCCCCTCTCCTGCTCTGTGACGTCCGTGATGGGGGTGTGTGAGGCCCAGCCAGGTGGTGGACAGACACCCCTCTGGGCAAGCTGCTAAGCCAGAGGCCCTCACTCTTTTTTGACATTTCAGAATGAACAAGTGCAGGGTGAGAAGTGCAGGGATGGGTGGGAGATTTTGATTTGGAATGGGAGAGGGTGAGAAGGAAGAAGAATTTTGAACATGAAGGTGGGTTGGATACTTGAAGACTGCCTTTGGCCAACTGAGCTTGGCTTTCTATGTGCACTGCCACTGGTGGCCAGCCGGGGGCCGATGGCCTATGGGAACGCCCCAGCCCATTGGTTGGGTTTTCTTTAGGCCTAGATGGATGAGAAGAAGCCCTTGTGGCGCAATGTTTAAGTGCTCAGCAGCTAACCGAAAGATGGGTGGTTTGAACCCACCAGCCACTCCGTGGGAGAAAAGATCTGGTGATCTGCTCCCATAAAGATTACAGCCTAAGAAAACCCAATGGGACAGTTCCACTCTGTCCTGTAGGGTTGCTACGAGTCGGAATTGACTCAACTGCGCACAACAAGATGGATGAAGGAGTCCCTGGGTGGTGTAGATGGTTAATGCACTTGACTGCTAATCAAAAGGTTGGAGGTTGCAGTCCATCCAGAGGCACCTCAGAAGAAAGGCCTGGTGATCTACTTCTGAAAAAATCACCCCTTGAAAATCCTATGGCGCACAGTTCTACTCTGACACACATGGGGTCACCATGAGTTGGAGTTGACTCACTGGTCAACTGGTTGGATGGGTGAGAGAAATAAGGACATGGCCCACGATCATTTTACCTATACTTTCACTGAGGTTTTTATTTAATTTCATTAGGAACTCGTGGATCTTCACATTTAATGTGGTCAATCCATTGCAGTTATTCTTTTAATTGATGCTCAAATGGTCCCATCTGGAGTCAGTGGGAACTTCTTCGAGATGGCACTTAAGTCAGAAAAGCGCAACCGTCAGAGGTCACTAAGCAAACTCACCTGCGTAATCCCCGCCCACGCACCCCCCAGCAGATCAAGAGTAGCATGACCTGCTCCCAAGAAGCCCCTCCTGCCCCCTTTTAGTTACTCTCCCATCCTCCGAGGAACCACCATCCAACTGCCTATGTCAGTTCCCCAGCTGCCGTCAAGTCATCTCCAACTCATGGAGACCTCAGTATGTCAGAGTAGAACTGGGCTCCATGGGATTTTCAGTAGCTGATTTTTCAGAAGTAGATTGCCAGGCCTTCCTTCTGAGGTGCCTCTGGGTAGACTGGAACCTCCAGCCTTTCAGTTAGCAGCTGGGCGCGTTAACCATTTACGTCATCCAGGGACTTCTTCACTGCATTAGCTCCCCCGATACGGAGCCAGGGGCCAGGTGTGCCTTCTGATATTTTGAAATCACAGTCAAAATACAAAAGAAGGTTTGAACGGTGCTTTGCCAATGCTTTCACTCTGTCTTCTCCCACATGTCTGCTGGTGTCTTCGCTCAAGCTGCCTTTCTCTTGGCCTCTGACGATGCGTTTTGCCCGGACAGACCTCCTTATCTCAGGACAACGAGGCCGCCCTGATGCTGGACTATGCAGCCTCTATGGACAGTGGGCGTCAAGAGGAGTCCTTGTCCCATCTGGGGGCCACCGTCACCTCCGCTTCCACCCCCGCCCCACTTGAGAAAGATCCACCTGTCCAAGCCTCGCCTGCCCTTGAACCCCAGGAGAATGAACTCGAGTCCTGGGACTTGGAGAAGGAGTCTGAGGCCACCGGGTGGGACTGCCACAGCTCGCTGGACCCAGATGGGGATGAGCTGTCGGAGAGCTCCCTGAGCGTCTCGGAGCCAGGCGCTGCCAAGAAGCACAAAGGTACCCCTCCCTCCATCCCACTGCTGTGCGCACTTGGCGGCTTTGCCCTCACACTTGTTTCCACGCTAGATTTTAGCTCTTCTCATCGTTATTTTTCCTTTTGTCCTCTAGAAACTCTATTGCACCCTCACCCCTCTCCCAAAAAACACCCTGTGCTGAGTGTTGGAGCCCATTTAGAGCCTTGGGGTTTAGACTTGTCAGCTCATGGGGGGTGGGCATATTCAGAATCGTTCCTGAGTATGACAGCCTGGTCCTCTCTCTGCTTTTGGGGAACTTGTGTTCCTGCCTGATGTTGGTAGGTGCCCTTGAGTTGATTTTGACTAATAGCAACCCCATGTGACAGAGTAGAACTGCAACATGGGGTTTTCTAGGCTGTAATCTTTATGGGAGCAGATCAGCAGGTCTTTCTCCCACAGAGCCACTGGGTGGGTTCGAATTGCTAACCTTTCAGTTAGCAGCCGAGCTCTTACCCACTGCACCACCAGGTGTTCCTGCTGAGAGGTGCCCTTTCCTCTGAGTGCCCATTCCCACCCAGGAGTAGAGCTATGGAGAACTCCTATAGAGGAGTCCCTGGGTGGTGAAAACGGTGAACACACTTGGCCGCTAACCAAAAGGCTGCAGGTTTGAGTTCACCCAGAAGCACCTCCGAAGAAAGGCTTGGCGATCTGCTTCCCAAAAATCAACCATCAAAAACCCTGTGGAGCACAGTTTGACTCTGACACAACATGGGGTCGCTGTGAATTGGAGTCACAGTGACAGTTGGTTAACTGGGTTCATCATATACAACGAGCAAGGCGGAGAAGGACTGGGCTTCCCTCGGCTGCAGTGGTCGCCACCTCTATCATTGGTGCCTCTCAGGACTCCCCCTTCCAATAAAGACAAAGCAAAACCCTACTACTTGATCCTAAGAGGATCTACAGAGAGGTAAGCTAGCTACTCCCTAGCATAACTGATTGATGACCTTGAGGTCTATTCCTCATGAGGACATCATTTCATTAGAATATTCGCTTGTTTCCCATTACACTCAGCCAGTGCTTCAGAATTGTAAATTGCTCAAACGTGAGCAGCTTTACCCCCCTAGTGCCTCAGACGTAACATTCGCTTAAGTATATTTGCCGAGGGAAGACAGTCTAGTGGTTGGGATCTGTTCTAGATTTGAGACTTGGCTGCAGAGCCCTGGTGGTACAGTGGTTAAGGGCTCAGCTGCTAACCAAAAGGTCGGTAGTTTGAATCCACCAGGCGCTCCTTGGAAACCCTATGGGGCAGTTCTGCTCTGTCCTATAGAGTCGCTATGAGTCGGAATCGACAGCTTCCTCATCTGTAATATGCCCACCGCCCCATCAGCACCACAAGCCCAGAAGTCATAAAGAAAGAGCAGGGCAAGGAAGGCAGGGGCCGAAACTCAGTGTTAACCCCTCACTCTGCCTCCTACTTGGGGCCCCAAGGCACCCCTGCCTTCAACAGGAAATTACTCCCTGAGAATTTACACACCATGGGGTCTCAAGCACTGAAAGTAGGGGGTCTCAGGCACCCCAAGTTAGGGACGCATACCCTACAACAGGGTTCTCAGGCACAGCTGACACTTGGGGCTGGACATTCTCTGTGGTAGGGGGCTGTCCTGTGTACTGTAAGATGCTGAGCAGCATCTCTGGCCTCTCTACTCACTCCATGCCAGTTGTACCCCCTCACCCCCTAATGTGTAAATTCTTAGGGAGTAATTTTCTTCTGGAAGGCAGGGGTGCTCTGGGGCCCCAAGTAGGAGGCACTAGGAGGTCTCTGGCACACAAGTTAGGGGGTCTCAGGCACCCTAGTTAGGTGGGTCTCAGGCACCCTGAGTTAGGGTGGTCTCAGGTACCCCAAACTAGGGGATCTCGGGTACCACAGTTTAGGGGGTCACAGGCACCAAGAGTTAGGGCGCCCTGGTTAGACTTGTTCTACTGCTTCTCTTCTTTGTGCTTCTCATCCACCTGCGTGGTGTGTCCCCCAGGGGACATCTGGCAATGTTATCACAGTCGGGGTGAGGGTGCTATTTGCATGGAGCGAGTAGAGGCCAGAGATGCTGCTCAGCATCCTCCAGTGTACAGGACAGCCCCCATCACAGAGAACCATCCAGCCCCAAGTCTCAGCTGTGCTGAGCTGAGAACCCTGCTGTAGGGCGTGTGTCTGCCCTCACCCCCTCCCTGTTTTGGTTTAACGTCTCTCAACCACCATACATCACTGCTTTCTCCCATCCTCATCCCCTCGCCAAAGTTAGAAGAGGGGCCATTCCAGGTGGTGGTTTCCAGACCACGTGACGAAGAACGAAGGCTTGTGCCTCTGTTTGCCCACCCCCTAGCGTGTGGGGGGTGGCGGCCTTTGTCCCAGGGATCCGAGTCTGGGTGACTGCAGTGGCTTGGGAAGCTGTGGCCTGGCCCACCGACCCCTATGGCAGTCTCATCTGCTTCTGTGAGTAAGACGTGGGCCCAGAGTGCATGAACTGTGGCCTGGATGCTGGCTGCAGGGGCCGCACACCTGTCTCCGTGGAGGACCAGAGAAGCCTAAGGGAGAGGTGGAGCTGAGGAAGGCAGGTGAGCGCTGGGCAAGGTAGAAACACACTTCCTCCCCTCCTCTCACCTGATGGTCTGTTTCCTCTTCTCTGTGCAGAATCTCAGCCTTCCCACCCGCCCTCCTCCCGTCCTTCCCAAACGCCAGACCTGGCCTACCCCAAGTCCATTCAAAGCCCAGTGCTCACTTCTTCAGTCCCTTCCTCCTCCCTGCCTCCTTTTCCTTCCAGAGAGCTCTTTCCCTTGGGGTTTCCTTGCTGCTTGTGGCTGTTCTGTACCTTTGCCTTCACTGGCCAGGTGGGAGAGTCCCTGGGTAGGGCAAATGGTTTATGCTCCACTATTAATCAAAAGGGTGACAGTTCAAACTCACCCAGCAGAGCTGCAGAAGAAAGGCCTGGCAATCTGGTTTTGTAAAGATACAGCCCCCCCCAAAAAAAGACCCTATGGAGCTCAGTTCTACTCTGTAACGCATGGGGTCACCATGAGTCAGAATTGGCTCAATGGCAGTGGGTTTGGTTTGGGGGTATTTTGGGCCAGGTGGGTAAAGACCACCTCAAAAACTGTATCTTGGGCCAACTGGTGTCAGGCAGGTGTGCCCGGGACCACCTGCGACATGAGCTTCCAGTTCCCTGTCCCTTCCAGAGCCCGGCGCTGGGGAATGCTGCATTTTATTCTCACCAGTCCTGATGCACAGACGCGAGATCTTTTAAGATCTTTTAAAAGGACCTATCTGGCAGCATTTTAAAATTGCGTTGTCATTCCAGTGCTTTCTGAGCTGTGCGTGCTCAGCAGGGGAAGCTGACAGAATCCGAGACAATTGTGTGTCACAGGCATCAAACAGTTTTCATTTTCCAACCAAAAACTTTTGGAAACTGGTGCTCGAAGTGGCAGCTTGGTGGAGGTTTCCCTCACTTTTAATTTTAAGCTAATGCACATTTTTTGGGTGCAAGAGCTCCTGTATATATTTATCTTCTGTAAGAACGAAGAATTTGTTCTCGATTCCCAAAAGCACTTGTATGTTTAAAATTCTCCAGAAAGTATGCCGGTTATCAGCGCACATGTCTTAGGAACACAGCCAATACTCCAAATTTATTCCCAAAATTCAGGGGTATTTTCAGCTTCAAAAAGTATCGATGGAGGTTTTGGAAAAAAAAAAAATTAGAAAACATTGCCAGATGTCCTGCGCAGTAACTTCGTGTGTATAGATAATGTGAATGGTTTAAGCTCTTACTGTTTTTCATTCTTATTTCACCTTTGCACACTTTTCTTTTTACCTCTTATTTTCTGATTCCATCTCGCACTCATTCCCTTTAACTTAAGAGGATCGCTATGCCAACCAGAATTAATTGCCTGCACAGTAAGTTATTTTTGTCTTATACGTATGTTCTTTTTAAGTAATTTTTTAAAAAAAATTTTCGTCTAAGTCTGCACAGCCAGAGATACACCATGGCAATAATTTCTACGTGGATAATGCAGTGCCGTGGATTACATTCTTCAATGCTTACCATTCTCACTATCCTTTTCCAAATTATTCCACCACCATTATCATAAACTCGCTGCCCCCTAAGCTTCCCATCTAACCTTTCGAGTTGCCGTTGTCAATTTGATCTCACCTAGATAATTCCTTAAAAGAGCCTAATGCTCAAAGCAGACGTACTTTATTAAGATACACTATTTTTTGATTCAAAGAAGACATCAGGGGCTAGTTTTGGTTTTAGGTTTAAAGTTTAAAGATTATCTCAGGGAAATATATATATATATATATTTTTTAAATTGTACTTTAAGTGAAAGTTTACAATTCAAGTTAGTCTGTCATATAAAAATTTATGCATACATGGTTATGTGACCTTAATTGCTCTCCTGTACTGTGACAGCACACTCCTCCTTTCCACCCTTGATTCCCCATGTCCATTCAACCACTCCTGACCCTCTCTGCCTTCCCATCTCACATCTGGACAGGAGCTGCCCATTTAGTCTCATGTATCTACTTGAGCTAAGAAGCACACTCTTCACAAGTATCATTTTATGTCCCATAGACCAGTCTACTCTTTGTCGGAAGAGTTGGCCTTGGGAATGGTGTTAGTTCTGGGTTGACAGAGAGTCTGGGGGCCATGGTTTCTGAGGTTCCTCCAGTTTCAGTCAGACCATTAAGTCTGGTCTTTTTACTAGAATTTGAGTTCTGCACCCCACTTTTCTCCTGCTGCATCAGGGACTCTCTGTTGTGTTCCCTGTCAGGGCAGTCATTGGTGGTAGCCAGGCACCATCTAGTTCTTCTGGTCTCAGGCTGATGGAGTCTCTAGTTTATGTGGCCCTTTCTGTCTCTTGGGCTAATACTTGCCTTGTGTCTTTGGTGTTCTTCATTCTCCTTTACTCCAGGTGGGTTGGGACCAATTGATGCATCTTAGGTGGCCGCTCACTAGCTTTTAAGACCCCAGACGTCAGGGCAATATATTTTTA